TCTTTTCTCCTGGTTCCCATGGTAACCACCACGTTGTGGTGTGACTGCAATGCTGCTGCAGACGCATCCCCGTCACCGCTGCTCCCGGACACGGCAGCGCAGCCCTGACCTCCAATGCTGGCACACGTCCCACTAAAAACCCTGCTCCATCTCCCTTCTACGACCCAGGCACCCTGCTAATTGCTGCTAAAATTCCTTATCTTATCAACAATCCCGGCAGCCTGAAGCCAGGGAGACGGGAAGCTTCCACTTTTTTTCTCCCTGCACAGTTTCCTTGGGAATACTCTAACATTTACTGGCACAAAGTACTTTTGGAGGGCATCAGCACTCAGGATCCATTTCAATCCACATATATCGATACATTTGCATTCCTGAGACAGTGGCAGACATTCCACACACTGCTCATGTCACAGATCTATCAGCTGCCCAAGAAAATCATGGGCTGGAGTTGCTTAGTGAACTGGCATTTGGGGGGTTTGCTTCATAAGCTCTTCCTTGAAGCAAAAAATAAGCTTTTGGTGACCCTTCAGCAGAACTGAAAAGGTACCTCTGCATTCATGGCATCATCAGCGATCTCTGCACAGGAGGCTCAGAGAAGAAACAGCAAAATTAAGGCACAGCAGAACACGAGCCTTCAAAATCCACTGAACAAGCCTCCAAATTCACTTCTAATCCTCAACCATGTCTGATAACAGACAGTAATAAAACCTTCTTTAAATTAGACAAACACAAGGCTAACCCTGCAGCAATTTTTTCCACCTCCTGCTGTAGGCAATGCCACAGACTTGGATTTTTCCTCAGGAAATGTTGCCATCTAGTGACTCCACGTTGCTGTATACATCACAATTGCTACTAGAGGGAGGATCTCATCTGTATTCACGATTCCCCAGTAGGAAAAGTGTGACTGATGACTCAAAAAGAAGAGTTACAACTGCATGGTGATACTAAAGAAAAAAAAAGAAAAAAGAAACAAATCTACACACACCATGCATTTAAAACTGTTCAGATGAAATGTATTAATATTAACAAATCAAGAAAGAAAATGTCCTGAGATTTTCTATAAAACAAAAACAAGCAGCAAAAGAAGGAAAAAGGACTCACTGATTTTCTTCCATTGCTCTAGAATTCTGTTATGATTTAAAATTCTGTTGCCCTGCTACAGACTCAGATTCCTCATCTGAGGAAAACTGACAAGTTCAGTAAAATAAACATTTGCTTTCTATTGTGGATGGGCTCCACAGCCCCATCCTCTGCACAGCCTCGAGGCTTCTGACACAAACAGGCATTATTCCTGATCACATCTCACCTTTCCACAGGTGGGAGACAGTTTTGCGGTGAAAGATTAAAATGACCAAGATGAAAAGCTTCTCCAAAGCTTGATGTGCTCGACTGACACAGGACAAGACACCTGGGCTGACACAGGAGCTGTAGGGAGTGCACGCAAAACTTTAACTTCACTCACAGAAATGTGTTGTGGGTGGCATTTCCAGCAAGAACTAACAGCTTAAGTTATGGTGGAAGTCAGGAAAATAATACCTTCAACCATACATCAAGCTCTTTATTACAACACCTGAATTCTTCAGTGGTGAGAAGATGCCAGAACAAAAGGTTTGGCTTTTTTGAAGTCCCTGACTGTCTCCCATCACTGCTTTCCTTCCACTGATGCTCATTTTTCCACTACTCAAAGGGCTGAACATCTTATGCAAACAATGTCAGAGCTGCACAATGTCTTTAACATCAGAAACTTGGCAACAGCTACAGGTGAATGTTTTAGGAGTTACTGAAGGAGAACTTTAAGTGAGGGAGGTTTAAAAGAAAACAAAATAAAGAGTTCAAAGCTGATATTTAAATACAAACTACAGAATCTTTTCTATCAGTCTGCAAGAATAGAAATACAACATCCACTGCCAGAAGGATGAGCTACAATAGTTTGGAATTTGCATTATAAATTGTATAGATTTATTACTTACAGTAACTTATAAATTTTCAATTTACACCAACTTTGAACACCAATGATAGGAATTAGTCCTATACTGGAAATATAATCTAAGTGGCCTGGTTTACATAAAAAATGCTCTTTCAGTAAACAATTTGAGAAAATGATGATGACAACAATTAAGCCTGAAATCCAGACAGCACCTTGGTGTTGCATCCAACTCTCCTTATCAAGAGAATAGAAAGCCAAGGTTTGACAAGCCCAGATTTTACAGCAGCCAAATCTGCCCCTCTTCATCTCAAATACTGCAGTAGTGGGTGCCTGAATGCCAAATAGAAGATAACCTTTTTAATTCAAATTTTCTTTTAAATAATCTCAGTTACACAGTAAAGAACATTCAGTAAGGGAACTTCAATTAAAGGCTGAAACACAGCCCCCTAAATACTGTTCCAATTGAGCATTTTCATCAACATTTGACACAAGTTAATTCCCAGTCTGCCTGAAATAAGGATGCAACAGAATAGAGAGGATTTTTTGGCTTCTGATTCTACAAAAATGCTGCCACATTACTCATGTAACCATTATTGGAAGTGATAGTTAATGTTGAAAAATGAAAATAGAGTTGGTGGTTTTAATAAATTTTGAATGGCTGTGGCCTTATAAGTTGGATAATTCACTAAAAAACTAATTAGAAATGCAATCAGGTTGCAAAGTTTGTCCAAGTATGTTTAATTTATTTCATCAGGAAGGGTATCTATCAAGAGGGCAGCTATTCTTAAGGGACAATATACCTATCAGTCATTTATAGGAATAAAAAAAGGAATGCAGTCAAACCCATTTTGTAAAGGTTAATATAGTCTGAAAAGCATTTATCCCAAATTTTCTCATTTTCAGGACATGCTGAAGCCCCAGAGAGTCCAAAAATAAATTTTTTAAAAGCTACATATTATTCCTGTGACACTTTGAGAGATCAAGTCTCTTCAAAAGCAGAAAAAGTAGGTTTTGGGAAGGATGGAGTTTCCAAAATTTAAATAAATGAATACTGCAGAAGGCCAGCAGTCTCAATGCCAACTAAAGAAGCTACAGTCCAAACAAAACTGGCATCAATGGAGAACACAGGAAGAAAACCTCAAAAAACACTCCCTTATTCTTTATAAAAGCTGGATTTTAAAAGCCAACTTCAAGTTTACCCAGTATTCAAATGACTATGAAATCACATACTGGAAAATACATATTCTTTGTTAATAATTCTGTGATCATACATCTGTACTTGTAGCTATATTCCCTACAAAAAGCTTCCCACAATTCCTAAGACCACATGGTTTTAAGAGGAGTCCTGAGGAATCAGTTTTATGTTCAATTATGGAACTGTGTTCAGATTCAGGAATTGCCTGAAGGACAAATGTTTCCTGTAATCCCAAGCATTTTGAAAACTCCCAAATGATGTCACTGCCTGCTTTTCTCACCCAACCTATGCAACAGCAGCTCCAAAATTTGCTTCCAGTTGTATCCCCACGACTCAGCACTTACCAAAAGCACCACTGAAAACCCAAATATGTGCATGAGGCAGGGTTCAAACTGATCAGTAATTCTTACTAATTAGTGTCTCCTGGATGAATGGAGGTCACTTAGCAGGTTCTCCCTGAAGCTCTGCTTCTGGAAAAGCAAAACCCACCATTCAAGCACTTCCTTAACAGGATCATTACATTTATTTTTTAATTCTGTTCATGTGAAAATTAAGTATGCAGGTCTACTGTCATCCCAACAGTGAAAGCATCTTGAGGAAGCTAATTAAAGCTAAGAACAAACACTTTCACCCCCTCTCCAGCTTATTTTTGCCCCAAAGGAGGATCACAGTATGTTCTGCTATGGAAAACAGAAAACAACACTTAGTAATCTCTAAACTCTCCTGACACAGCCAGACTGGGCATGTGCTGCTTGGCAAAGCCAGGCTGCAGCATTTCTGGGCAGGCTCAATTATGGATCACTGACTTTTCCCACAGATCCCAGGATTTACAGTGCCTGCACAACGTAAGCAGTTATGCAAAAGCTGCTCATGGAGAATTTAATTGCCAGCTACTGTCCATGAAAAAAAAGCAGCACAAGCTGTAATTGCTCACTGAAGGTTGAGTCACCTTCTTTACAAGAGGCAACTGTGGTGGGAGAGGGGAGGAATCCCAGCTCTCCCTGCAGTCCTCAAATGGAAAGACTGAATGAGGTGGTAATCTGCAAGTTTTCCTCACTCACTGGGAGGTCTGAGCCTCCCAGGCAGAAGTGATTGATGAGAGGAAGGGAAATAAAAATGCAGTTTATGAGAGTGCAAAAGATAAGGTCCTTTTGTTATTAACACACCACAAACCCAGGACTGACACCCTAAAAGGCCACCAGCACCAACAGTTCCCTTTTACTGCACTTAATAATGCACTTAAGTTGTTACCTAAAGCTCATCTGCTGTTTCCTACACAAATTTCACACAAGTATTTTTCACACTCCCTATATACATGTCAAGATATGATTTTTACCATTAATGGAATTTTTTTCTTTAAACCAGTGTAAATGAGTTTATCTACAACAGTAAGGGCAGGATTTTTTCTTCAAATTCACCTTTGAAGAAATAACCTTATCTGTAATAACTAGATGGAAAAAACCCACAACTTGTCTAAAAATTAGTTTAATTTGGAACAATATATACATAGCATTAAGCTGCCTCTATTACTGTCTCAGGTGGAGCTTTTTGGGAAGCACATCCCAGCTTCTGCAGGATGATTCTCCTCTGCAGTTTCTCTCATGCTGAATTGTTTAGGTTTGCATAACGTGTTTGGAGGGCATTTTTAATGATTCTGTAGTGTATTTCCCTGTAAATTACTAGGAAATATTCAACCCTGATGAAACTGAGATAAAACACTGTTTAGAACTGGTCCCAGTAGCATTGGCTGAAAGAGTGGAAATATGAAGCAAAGTGAGCATATGAACAGTGGAATAGCTTTGGAGAGTTCCAGCACACACACCCTACACCCCCAACTCCAGGGAAAGGAATAAAACAGATTTCTGAAGGAGACATTACCAGTAGCACTGGGCATTATTTTCCAACAGCTTCTCCACCATGTGCTCCACCCTGACAAACCAGCTGGGCACGGCTTTGTAGATCAGCGGAGTATCTGACCTGTGCAGGGAAGGGAATAAAACAAACAACAACATTCTTAAATACTACATTATTGATAAAGTGCTCTCTAATATTTAGTTCTGCACATGATAGTCCCTTTTCCACAGACTGAGTTCACTGCTGCTGAAATATCATCACACTTAAAGGTTGGGGTCTGTTTGGTTTGTTAAATGACAAACTGTTACACTTATGTGAACTACTATTTTGAAATCCAGTCCTGAAAAATAATTTACAGCCTTCAAACCCAGTAATTCAAGGAATTTGTATAGCAAGAGCAATCATGAAAATGTTCAAACGATACTTGAATTTGAAATTTGTGCTCCTACATTATGAACTTCAATAACTACTAAAATGAGTCATATTTCAGTCTTCCACATGAGCTCATTCTGAATCATTTTTTATGTGTATATGAGCCTGAAAAGCCAGGGAACATTATGCTATGTTTTTACTATTTGCATTTAAAATAATAATCACAAATCATAAAAAAGTAACAGCACCCAGGGTTAACCAGAAGCAACTTCCATTCCAGGTGAGAGGGAAAGCAAGAAATCCACATAAGCATATACAAGAATTTTAAAATATATCTTAACATATTCCTGACTTCAATAAGCAATAAAAGAAAATCCATATGGGAGGAGAGCAGTTTTACAACTTGGGATTGCTTAGAAATGGAAACACGATTGGCCAGTGCACAGATTGAGCAATTTCCTAAATTACTTGGTAAAATCAGTATCTCCAAGCATCTGACTGCAGTGTCCCAACCCAGACTCTGATTTATCAGTTCCATAATAACTGCTTAAGGTCTTGAGTAACTGCTCAGGCAGCACATCCTCCTAAAGGATCCTGGGATCCAAGAGCGGGCACAGGTCACTATAAGGAGCTCAGACATTTCTAATCCTTCACATCCATCCCATTATTCCATTATGATGAGGGAGAAAAGCCCTAGGAGATAGGATCTGTCTATGGGTACAGAGGGACAAACAACACTGTGACAGGAAGCTCATTCTCCTCTAGCTTCATTCCACTCCACCAAATGTTTCTTAAAAATATTTTGTTTTAGTTACTTTGGCTAAGAACTTGGCAATACACAAAAATTCACCAGCAAAGACCCTGAGAAACTGCTGTTATCTCCCATGTGCAGTCAGCACTACAAACAGCCAAAGTTTTATTCATTTTACTTATATTCACAGCAAGAGCACATTTGAAATCCACCAACTACTGCAGATGATGGTGTAAATTAAAATTGCTACTGTGCCAGCACTTGCTAAAGATGCACCTGCCTAACCCACAAAAGAAAGAAAACCCACAGCAAAGGTTGTTTCACAGTGCACGAAGCCCAATAATAAAAATCACATTGTTTCTTTTAACACTGTATTTCAAAAGACTTTTCATTGTAACATTATAACCTGTGTGTTTCAATGTGCTCAAGTGTTAAAGTACCTATAACCTTTAAGGAAATGGTGACAGTTTCAAGTAACAATGTAGTTGTGTCCTAGCTATTAAATGCAAACCTACTGATGGCTTGCTACACAAATTTAAGACGGGCCCAGGGACACAGAGTGGCTTCAAGCTGGAAGGATCCATCACAAAGGCCAAGCAGGGAAATCATTTCCCAGGCTTTCCACCCAACACCGAGGCTGTAACACCTGACAACCTACAGGGCTCTGCTCCTCCTACATGAAGGCAACAAGTAAGGGGAGAGGGCAAAGTTTCCCTGAATATTTTTCTTCTGGCTGTACTACCAAGCAGTGCCTCAGCAGGGGACTGCAGAGAATAAAACACTAAAATTGCCCAAGCAGTGACACCTCCCACATTTCTGCCCCTCCTGACTGGTGAGAAGGTTGAGGAATCCGGATTCAACTGGATTTTACAGTAGAATCAAATGAGAAATACTTATTGCTGGGTTTTGTTTTCCATCAACACAAGGGGAAAACCACCCAGACAGACCTTAAATCAAAGTCTGATGCTTACAAAGTTCCTGCCTGACCATTCCTCTCTGTCCCAACCGAACAAAGTTTTGTTCCCCTTACAGACAGATCCTTTTGAAACACATCAGAAGAATCAAATCACATTAATTGTGATCTTATTCTGTTTTCCTGTAATTTGGGAACTAAATGATCAATAATTGAGCCCGTGTCATGAAGATACTTCCTGGTTTTGCCTTCACTGGCCTGGAAAAGTCAAAGCTCCAAGTCTGGCAGTGGAAGAGCTTCCCAACACTATTCCCAAAGGAATGGCAGGAAGAGCTGTGGGGGACACTCCAACAGCTGCTGAACTGCTGCCCAGGCTACACAGACTCCCAAGATCTCACATGAGAACAGAGCAGTTCTGATCAATGTCCTCCATTTTCAGCAGTTCCAATAAAGACAAATTCTACTTGAAAACTATCTACTGCATCCTTACCAAGTTGCTGAGTTTCTCACATTTTAAAGTTTAGCTGACAGATAATTACTACACAGAGAAGGACCCAGATTTCCTGATATGTGGAGAAAGAAAGAAAATTTCTCAACATCACAAGGATTAAACAGCCGCTTGGTTTCAGGGAAAGGCAGCAGTACATTAAGAAGAGTCTGATTTCAAAGTTTTCTTACATTAATCAAAATAACTTATAACTATGTTCAAAGTTAAGAACTACTCTTCTACTTTTAGCATATTCCAATTATGGTTTGATTTGTGATGGCAGTGAAATGAGCTTTTCAAGTAGAATCCATTGTTCGGTTCTTCCCACCGGATAATTTGCTGCTAGGTGCTGCCTGCAACTTATCATCAATCAACAAAAATGTCAACAGAGTGGCAGGATTAAGGATCTTCTACAGAATCAGCACTTCTACATCCCTGCTTTGTCTCAGAAGGCCATGACTGGATATTTGAGTTGCTACACAAGAAAAACACAAGCTTGATTTTGGAGCTGCCATTTTTCAAAAATTGTCCCAGATCATCAAGGACATAACACTTGGAAGAGCAATTCCCCTTCTTCCTCTAGGCAGCTGCTAGAAACAAACCAATCCTTCTGCTCAAGAGCAAGGAAAGGTTATTTTTGCTATAAATTAAAGATAAATGTACCCTGCTAGAACACTTCACCCAGCAGAGTCAGAGCCAGACAGAGAGATGAGCTTTTATCACAGTTATTTCAGTACAGGTGCTGTGTACATCAGATAGGACTTAAAATCTTCAAGCCATTTCAGATAATTAAATTAGGTATTTTATTTTAAGTGTGTCTTTGCTCATAATAAGAATTTAATACTCTACTAAAAGATAACTGAAGATGCACTTTTTTTTTTAATTTGATATTGTTTGGGGATTTTTTACAACAGCAATTGTGGAAATTTCAACACCAGGAAGGGTCACTAATAAAAACAAGCTTCATTTCTAGATTAAATCTGTCTAGTCTGTATTCCTCAGAACCAAAATTTGTTTGTTCACTGATAATGAAGGCCCATGAAGAATTCCACTTGGAGACCTCCCCCACAGGCATCCACCTAGGGATGTCTCCACATTTCAAGCAAATGTGCTTCTCTCAAAGAAACAAGTCATCTTACAAGGTTAATAAGAACTATATTTTAGCCATTTTATTCAAAACATACAAAGCTTCAACACAAACATATAAAGATTTTCTGTGATATACTTCTTTGGATACAATTCAAAGGGTATCAAAAAAATTATTTCCCATTACTCAGCTGCTTAAAAAAATAACCTTTTTTATAAGAGGTAGCAAGGCAAGAGTTCTACACCATGAAATGAGCAACACAAAGTATAAAAACACACATTTAAAAATTATAAACAGAAACTAAATTTCAGCACTACACCTAGATTCATCAGTTTTATGACGAAAACAAGAAAAAATCCTCGATCTAAAAATAATCTCCATTTGTGTTACTTTTAGTTTTGCCAGGAAAATTAAGGAAGGGAGGGGGAAGATATGGGAGAAGCCTGAAGAACTTTTCTGTTAGAAAGCTCAGCTGGAAGGCAAGTGCAGGTCTGTGCTTACCTCCAGCAGAAAGGGTAGCTGTGCTGGAAGGTGGTGCTGTGGATCAGCCGGCCCTTCTCCTTCAGCCATCTGATGATGTGCTTATCTGCATCCTAAAAACATGGATTTTCCTTGGAACACACGTTTCACTCAGTAAGTTACTACAGGATTTGTCTCAGATACTCAATTTTTAAAAAATACTATGCATAGCCCAGCATTTACACACACACTCTGAAAGTTTCTATCCAGTTTATACATTTCCTGCAGGGGCACTGTAAAAAATTAAATTTGCAAAGTTATTTGCTCTCCAAACTCTGTTTATTTACAGTGTCTTCAATGTGTCTCTGCTATCTAGATAAATTTATATTTATAAATTAAAGCATCAGTCCTTTTTTACCCTTAACTCTCTTTCCACATACACACAATTGTGTGTAAAATTCAAATTTTCTGAAGCACCAGTACAAACTAGAACCACATTATTTAATATCCTAATGACTGAGTCTTACAATTTTGTGGCAGGAAATCACACAGTGCTTTTTACCCAATATTCAAACATCCTGATACCACATTCCTCTAAAGTGACTAAATTTCAGAATTTGAAGTATATTTCACAATACTTCACTAACTAACAGGGATTTACATGCTGAAGTGGAAGTGAAAGCTCTATATTTAAAAAAAAAGAGCTGATAATTTAAGACAATCTACTGAACATACAAGTGTCAATACGACATCAAGGAAAAAAATACACAAATATCTACAAGTGAAAAATTTATTATCCTAAGAAAGTTTTCCAAGAGCCTTAAATTTAGATTTCCACCAGCAAGAAGCTAAACATGGAGCCTCCAGTATCCTTTTATTTGCCTTAATGCATAAAGCAGGAAGGAGAGATAGCTGATTGAATCCTCAACTTAATTGGAAAAGACTTTAAAATCTTGTATTGCATTTGTTTGCAGGAACATGCTTTGCTATCAAACTGTAGCAGCAGGGCTAAAAGCAATTTTTTTTCTCAGGACATGGAATTTAAGAGGCACTCCCTGCTAGGGATTGTAGACAGATTTGTATCTGGAGCAATGTGGAGTTCCAGTGGGTTCCTTTTCCAGGGATTCTCCTGCATGGATTAACAAGTAAATTCCCACTGCAACACAGCCCACAAGTGGAGGAAATGACTGGGTTTCTCCCTTCTGGTGGGTCATGTTACATTAACTGGCTGGGAGAAACTTAATGATGGCACCTGGGAATGCAGAGTCATTCAGAGGTGAGGGAGGCCCTGCACATGTGCCTGGAAACTCTGGACATGACATTTCTGTCAGGTAAAAGCACAGAGTGAGAGCGTCTCTAGAATAGCTGCAAACAGGATACTCCTCTGCCTTCTCACTACAGATTTAAAAAGCTTAACTTTTATTTCAACTTTTTTCTCAGCTGCTTAATAAACAATTCCAACCTTGTTGCCAATGTTAAAACACATTTTAATTTATCCAGATACCAGTCACACATTGAAAACAAACCCACATAGGGAAAGAAAAGAAAGCTTCTACCATATATAAAATGTATCTTGAATAAAGTAGTAATTTATTGTCCCCAAGCCCACTGACCTTCACATACTGCCCAGCAAAGTCAGCCACTTCTGCTGTGAAGCAGCCTGATGCATCAACAGGACACACAGGCACGGAGTCCTTCTGAATGATATTAAAATCCATGCAGACTCTGTAATCATCCTGCAAAAGAGACAAGCACCAAGCTGTAAGAATACGAAACACTGGGTAAAATATCCATCCCTTGAAACAGAAATGAAACTTTAAACAGAAAATATGATGACTAGACAAGAATAGCCAAATATTCAGCCTTCATCAATCCCAAATACTTAGGAGAAAGTCCTGTTTTATAGGACTGTAGCTTTATTCAGCAGAAGATTATGATTTCTTCAGACTCTCACCTAGTAGTATAGGGGATATGTGCATGTTTTTCTATGGACATCAATGCATATACACACACATGTATTTTATGTGCCTGAGTACATAGTTCATGCAACCATTTTATGGCAAAAGAATTGCCAGCCACTCCATCCAGCTCCTGTCCCAGGCAGAGCCTGGATCTGCCCAGCTCTCCAGCCAACACTGCATTTTTCAGAAGGCAGGTTGTTTTAATCAATCTACTTCTGGCATTTCACATAAGCAATCCCATTTTCTGAATGTCTTAATGATACAAAGCCTTTAAACCTGTATTTCTCAATCTTTTTTGGCCCATAGGCAATGCTACTGACCAAGAACCACACATGGACAGCATCATGGGTTTTTTTTCCTGGCCAGTCTCCACTTAAATTTTTAATTTCCTGTAGCAATAAGAAGAAAAAAAAAGAAAAAAAAAAAAAAAAAAAAAACAACAAGAGAGAGAGAGTTGCTTCAGACTTTCCTGAACATGACAGAACAATAATGGCATCGAAAAAAAGATTAAAACAAAAATAGTAGGGGGATAGAAAAGTTCAGAATTTAAGTCTGAAGTCACAGTAAATGTGTATCTTAGCCAGGTACAGCGATGGCTTACAGGATACAGCAGCTGTTTCACAGGCGCTCCATCTAAAGCGCCCTCTCAGCCTCACCAGAACCAGCGTGTGTAAATACACATTTCATAGGCCAGGGCTCCACAGCTCCCTCAATTCTCCTTCCCTGACCCTAACCAACGTAGCTCTGGAGTACCAGGGCAGGGCTTGCATGTCCTTTGTGGCCTCATCCTGTCCCTTCAGTCCTTCCCACTATCCATCCCCGTGGCTCCAAGCTCCCCAAGCCAGCCCTGTTGCATTTTACAAGGATGAAACTCATCCATAGACAGGGAAGCTGACTACTTCATGGACCAAAGCTTTACACATAGAAACAACAAATCCCTCCAGCTCCAGCCCTGCCACCAGAGCACAGAAAGCATCAGACAATTTATTCACCCTGCACTTGGTCACCCAGCTCCTGCAGCCAGGACACCACTGGGATAAGCCCCTTTATTGCTGAGGGACTGGGAGCTGTGGGGTTCAAAATACAGGCCAGATGACAGAGCTGATGTCAGCCCTGATTTGGCAGTGAGCTGTTAAAGGCTTTGAAGCAGCAGCCAGCACAGACTACAAAGTCTGGCACGCTCACAGCCCTGCTAAGGCAGCACAACAAGCCTTCCCCTGGGCAGCACCTCGCTCAAGAGGTGCTTCAGCTCCACTTGCAGCGCTGCTGCAGCCAAGGGTACACAAAGGGCTCTGCTGCTCTGCCTTTCTGCAGTCAGCTCCCTGCTTCTGAACAACTTGAACGTGAATGGAAGCTCTCCAGACCCAGCTGCCATTTGATTTAATAAAGATTTCCTTCAGTAACCGCAAGGCAAGAATGTATTCAGGCACATAAAAGGAATCCACAAGTGCTAAGCTCAACTAAAAGCTAAGACCGACATCAGTCTTTTCCAGGGTAGGAGTTACAGTGGTCGATCTTGTACTTCAAAATCCCTCAAAAGATTAGACACAGAAGTCATAGTACACAAAATTAGTAAGTGGAATTTATTCAACAGCTCATTTGTGAGAGATCAAAAGCTTTTTAGTGTGAAATTTTAACAGAACAACAGAAACATGAAGTCAAATGTTCACCTTCAGCATATCTTAGCAAAAACCAGCATCACTTCTGCCAAAAATGCCAGGTACTGAAAAAAAAGTGCATCAGTAACAGATCTATGAAACTTGTGTGTCACAGTCTGAGCAGGCACTAGAAGTATTGCAAATTAAAAATTTGTATGCAAATTCAAGTGTTACTAAAGCTTTTTAAGTTGACTGCAGGTACATCTACATATGACGAAATGCCTGAGCAGATAAATTTTAGTGTCATGTTAATCTAGAGGTACAGTGAGTTTACAGCATTTTTAATACAGGTTTGTCTTGTTCTGTGAGCTTTAATTTTGATCTCTTTTGAACTGAAATAATAGAGTGCTCTGATATGGTGTGGCAGCTTGTATTTGGCAAAGGCATCACATAAGACAATGAAACTACATCCAGAACTAAATGAAGGTGAATTTTTACTTTCAATTTTTTTGGAGAAGGATACAATCAGAAGGATGAGCTATCAGCAATACAGAACATGTATCAGTATGTAGGATTTTAAACAAATACATTAATAACTAAAACACTGACTTTCTAACTTTATTTATCAAAGGGATTCACTTATATTGATGGCAAGGAACAGAGACAAGACTAGAGGTTTGTTGTGAAGGACTGTGCTCTATTTCTTCTCCTCTGACCATCCTGGTCCAGTTATTCCTTTTCTATTCACCTTCTACTCAACAGGAAGGTGCAGAGGAGCCAATTAACCAGGAAGACAATCCTGTCTGCCACCATGAAGCATCTCCCTTCTATCATCTAAGCCTGTCTAAAGGCCAACATACAATACCAACAGTATTCTACACAGAGCCTACTGTATAATAATGAAATCCTGAGCTTACACCAGGACCTCTGTGAGCTTTCCTGAAATAATCCGTGGGCTGTCAAAACTGAATTACATGCCCCCCCAAAAGAAGGCAGCAGTATTAAGTGCAACATACACTGTGCATTTCTGAAGTCAGCACAGCACACTGACTTAGGCCCCTGCACCCCAATGTTATCTACTCAAACCTCCCCTGGAGACTGCAAGGTTTTGTTTGTGATGTCTGTGCACTTTTTCCTCACACGATGTTTTATGTATTTTTTTTTTCTTTGTGAAGCATTTAACTGTTACTCTCAGGTAATCACTGATTTCCCAGGAGAGAGAGAGAAAAATAGTTTTTTCCTCTGTGTTTACAAAACTCAATGAGCTTATTAAAAAATTTTAAATAAAAGAGGTCAGATAATCTTAGCTCTAAGAGGTCAGTCAACCTTTCTAACAAGCTGTTTCCAACAAGTTTAACAGGACTGTGCAAATACACAAAACCACTCTTAGAGCAGCCCAGGGAAAGCTTCTTCCAGAGCTCCTTCCCTGCTGGCAGCCTCTTGCTTTCCTTCCCTCTGTCTCCCACAGGAAGAGCTCCCGACTCTAAACCAACTCTCACCCGTCTGGAACATCCAAGATTCATCTCCAGGGGAGAGTCTGAGGAGCAGAAGTGTGACAGGATTTATCCTCCTGAGGACACTTGACCAGCCACCACCATTTTCTTTATTAACTGCTAACAAAGCCCACTCTAATTTTCTTTATTCTGAGCTATATTAAGCTGGAACAGCTTTTCATATCAGTGATCATCCTGACAAGGGAAACACCACCACAATGGATGTACCCTTCAGAAAAATGCAGGGAAAAAAGGATGGAAGAAGATGGGCTATTTCACATGAATACAAAGAGGCCTGTTGCAAATGCCAAGTTTCTCTGGAAATTATGACAGAGCTCGTGGTCCAGGGATTGCTAATTGCTAGGCACTGCAAGTTTTTTGAGGGCATCTTTGGATAATGGCTGAAGACAGGACACTCTAAAAAAAGGACAATGAGCCTAAACTAGTGCATTTAATTCAAGTGTCTAAAAACTGAAATGATTAAATCCATGACAAATTATTCCCCTTAGCCTTAAAAAAGAACAGACTGAGGGAAAGGGACAATAAAGACAGAAAAAAAAGAATGGAGTGCAACAAAATCCTTTCACACCAAGGGATAAAGTCTCAGGACAAAAGCAGTGAAAGCATTTTCTCATTCTCTATAAGCCCAGCGAGTAATGAAATTGAAACGCTGAAGAGGGGCAGTGTGCTGAGCAGAACTGCTGTTCCCAACCAAAATTATCACTTAGCAAAGCCAGTTTTCACTGCCAGTGCCACGGATCAGCCTTTCTCAAAGCTCTAACTTCAGACTCTGAGAAAAGCTGAGCTCAATGACACTCAAAAGATACAGTGGTGAGTTCAGCTCCTGCACACCACAACACAAACCAAAGCCAGGGACACAAAAATCTCTAGTCTAGCACAGCACCAAGTGGAAGAGCTCATTAGAAAACAAAGCTACATGATATTCTTATACTTTTAAGCAGTAAATGGGAAGATTGTTTAACATCAATCACCCTGAGAGAGTCCCCAGGACCTGGAAAGCCAAGCAATGTGTGCCAGCCAAAAATTAGCATTACAGATGTGTAGTTCACACTTACAGCACCAAAATAGGGAGCCTGATGGACAACTCCCGTGCCTTCCTCCTCCTTCACATAACCATCCACTACCACAGTAAAGGCACCTTTTTCTTTGCACTGTAACACAAAAATATGGGTTTACATAGATATATATTTACACACATACAGCAAAACAGTTGTTCAGAACCTGGCAGATCCAAGAGCTGCACAAAAGAGGAAAGAACTGCATCAAAAACCAGTGACACAGTAAAATGTGACATCCCTAACATGACTTAATGACTTTCCACAGCCCAGACACCAGTGTACTTCATTTAAAGAGTGTCAAGTGTGATTAAATCTCACACCTCTCCAGAAGGCCTCCAAGTCAATTACTCTTCAAGCCACAGATCTTCACACAATCCTGTGCTTAACAGACTGCAAATCAATACACCCCTGAACATGAGGACACAACCAAGAAAAGTACACAAATTTCTCTCCATTTCTGCATGTCCCCTGTACCTCTGGATTAAAATTAAAAAAAAAAAAAAAAAAAAGGTTGCTTTTATAGTCACACATTTTCTTTATTTCCTTCAGGGAACAAGAGCATGGTGAAAACCAACTAAAAACAGAGAGGAGAGAAAATCCAGAAAAAATTTGCTAAGAAAAGATATGTCAATTTTCAGTGTGTTTAGTACAGAGATAATGAAAAATAAAGGCTTATTTACTACTCCTTAAAACAAAAATAGTAAAAAAAAACTACTGCAGTCACAGCTGAACCAAATATGTTACAAAATATTAGGTTTGGCTTGTTCTGATGGGAGTTATTTTGAGATAAGATGTTCATTCTAAATAAAAAATTGTAGATGCCCCATCTGCTCCTTAGAAATACAGCAGGACTCACAAAATTTATCCATTCCAAACCTCAGATACACGGCCCAATTTTCCAGATTCAGCTGTGTTTGACTTTCCTCTAGAAACATCAGACCTTGCTCACTACAGAGGTTTTCCCACCTTTGCTGACTCCTGCACATCTTTCAGAACAGAGTGTCACAAATGACCAAATCCCTTACAGGAGTTAACAGCTGCCTGGCCAGCAGTGCTGTACCTCTCCTCCTTGAAAAATGTCATCAGTTCTTACTCAGATTTTTTTAAAAAAATAGAAAAATTCTCCATGCACTCTCCTATTGCTACATATTATTTTCTCATCTATGATGCCAGACCTAATGTAATGCTTAAAAGCTGCACCTTTTAAATCTGATACATTGGGAGGTTTTTACCAAAGGCTTTTAACTCTTCAGTGGAAAACATGGCATGTCCATGGTTGGTATCCAAAGTCAGTTGTTCCCTTGTGAAGACAAAGCTTCTGGACTTAGGAGGTAGACAACACTCACCAGATGAGAAAATGAGAGAGTGTCTGTTAATATGTATTTATTAATATGTACTGAAGTTCCTCTGCAATCTGAAATCAAACTTCTATTTATCATCCAGTGTTTACTCTGAGTATATTTAAAACATAAAGGAAAATATTTAGCGAAAAAAGCCACTGTTTTTCAAACTTTCACTAGGATTTTAAGGTATTTTAATACCTGACTGAACCTGGAGATTGTTATTAGAACCTACGATCTTTTTATAATATAAACAAGGAATACTCAAAATGAATTTTATTTTTGTCCTTATATCCTGTATCAAACATCAAACTGGTTCATCTTACCTGAATAAAATATTCAAAGAGTGGTTTGTATTTCTTGCCTTTAAGAACAATACCAGGAAACCTGAGGAGAAAAATTTACAAGAACATAAATTAACAACTTGAAAACTATCTTTTTTCCTATTTCCTTCTTCACCTCCCTGACAGAATTTGATTTCAGAAGATGAAAAGAATTTCCTTAACTTTACTTCCCACCTCTGTGGTAACTTAGAGAAAAAAACATGTCTTTTCATGCATCTCTGCTATCAGTCAACAACTTGTACCTGATGGACTTCAATCAAACAATCAATGTAAATTAACAAAGGAATTAAGCATTAATGACAAGCTCCTTATGGTAAAGCTGGGCAAGAACCTGCTGGGTGAAGCACAATATTAATAAAAACAAAGCCCTAAAACTTTAGCATATCAAAGAGAACTAAATAATGATCCAAAACACCTGAAGTTTTATGAACGGAAGATTGTGACACAAGGTACTGCAGCCTGTAAAGCTCAGATGCCTCATTCCTTATTCTAAAACTGGGTATCCAAACTCTCCACAGGCATCTCTGGGAATGATCCAACACAGACAAGACTGGCTGAGGAAAACCAGCTGAGCCAGACCCGTAATGTGAGGCAGAGATGGAGCCTGCAGGTCTGGCTCCCTTCAGGCTTCTGACAGCAGCTGACAAAGGCAGTGATTAGGTTGGGATTTGCAGCTCAGAACTCTCCCAAAAGTGCTTGAATCACCCAGTTTCAGGGGGAAAATCCAGCAAAAACATAACTTAATCTAATAGATGGGCTGGCTCTCTGACTGTGTCCCAGCTGTGGTCTCTCCCTACTCTGTCCTTGATCTACAACTTCCAAACAATGGTCAAACCATAAAACACTTGACTCCTTCAAAGTGGGGGACTCTTCAAAGCTGTTTCACAGCACAGGAAGGACCTGGAGCAGCATTTACTGCCAAGTTCAAGAGCACGACCCCTCAACTCAGCACACACAATATCCTCCAGGAACAGGGGAGATTTCTATTTTAAGCCTCAGCTTTGCAGATGTTTTATATGTTTTTATATTACAAACAGCCTTAGGAATGTTTGAGGTGCTTAATCAGGATCAGATGAGAGAAAAGCAGCCCAGTGGTCAGCTACACAGACATGGGAATGGTCAGACACAGAATGTGAAGCACTAGAACTGGCTTTAAAAAAAAAAAAAGTAGCTATATTCTTATTGAAGACAAATCAGAGAAAGGTAAAGGTTGAGGATCACATTCCTGATTTTCATTTCGGGATCTGAAATACTTTGTTAAAATCCTGAACTTCAGGTTGAAAAATTGTACAATGGTGCCTTCTTGTGACCTAAGTCACAGTAACAAGACTTGTTTAAAGTCACTTCAGCAATCCTTCACTCTCAGGAGATCAGAAATCTCTGGTTTGGATTCCTTAGAAACCAAAAAGAGACAACAAGGGAAAAAACAGTGTGAAGAAATTAAATGCTTAATATACCAAAGGACTGAAATCTATCACAAGGGGAGGGAAATGCTCATCACATCCTATCTACCACTGCTAAAAAAAGCAAGAAGCCACTCGATGGCCAAAACCGGGGTAATACACCCAGACCAAGCCATTGAGTGCAAAGCAGCCACTTCTGGGGGCTTCAGACTCCAAATATTTCCAATCAGACCATTCCCTGACCTCAGCCTGATGCCTGGTATAGATTAAGTTACATAAATTTCTCCCTCAAGAGCCTGACTGCTTTAGAATTTAAAAGTGAGCTAAAGGAAGAAAAAGGTTAAGAGCAGAAGTTAAGAGCAGAGTGGTGAAGTTCATTTCCATGAACTTAAGATACTCACAGATCTAAATCTTTCACAGATCCATTCTACTACCAGCTACCTTTTAATTGTCTCACATTTCACATTTGAGAAAATTAATTATTACATAAAAGAAAAACTGGAGCATGACCAAAACCAGAAAAGAAACCAGCTTGAAAAGAGACCACAGCACTGACACAAAAATAATTAAAATATACTGCTCTGCAATGAGATTTGCTAGCAGCCTTATAGATAGGCAGAGGTTAAAAAAAAGAAAATTAAAAAAATAATCATAGATTGGAGGGGATGAGTGGTGGTGTTAGAAATACCATTTATGTCAGGGACATAAATAGAACACCTGAAATGTGTATGACTGCCTTAAAGAGCAGGTTCTTCACATTCCTGATGAAGATACACATCAAAAAAAGACCAAAATGTTCTGTGCATTCCTGGATATAGAAGGACTGCAGCCACACTGAAGTTAAATTTGTAAAATTGGAAGTATTGTATCAAAAGAAGAATTTAGAAACAAAAGACAACACATCAACAAATTTAATATACAGGTTAGCTTGCTTCTTTTTTAAGCCTAAAGCAAATGTATTAAAAAAAATACATAAAAAAATAAAATGCCTTTGATAGAAGGCTTAGTTTTTAGACACTCTGAACAAGTTTAAAAAGACCAAAAAGGAACAGAGTATCTGTATTTCCCATGAGAATCAAAGCACTGATGGACCTAAAAACCATTGAGACAGGTCTAACAACCTGATTCAGCTTCAAATGATCGAGGGTTTTTAGTAAGTGAAGTGATAAAGAACATTCAATGCAAATTTGTCAAGAACAAGCCATACAAAGCCAAATTTTTTGGGGCAGTCTTACCAGCTTAGATACCAAGAAAGCAGATCAAATTTAGGTCTTAATGTTAGTGAGAGCTTTGACACTTTATCATTCCAACATGCACAAATACTTGAACTGGAGGATATGCCACCACTTCAAGAGAAAGTTGTTGTTAATTCAGTATCAGAGCAAAAGAAAATTCCCAGTGGTGTCCTGGCAGGACCATCCTGACACTGACACTGTTCAGTGGTTTCACTGATGACTCAGAGGGGAGGAAAAAACTCCGGAGATCAGAAGTTCAGCCAAGCCTGAAGAATGAGAGCACTGAACATCATCTTTAGAAACTGAACACCAGCTTGAATTGGTACAGACCAAGTGACAGATTAAGAGCATTCTCATAGAGGGGGGAGGGACGGAAATCAATGCAGAAATGTAAAATTATTCAACTGTCACAGTATGAGTTCTCAGAACAGGAAACATCTTAAACATTCCAGCTCTGTGTTTCCCTAATTTAATGATTACATGCAACTGCTTAGCTGAAATAACCTCCATTTTTTCAATTTAAAGCTTTCAACTGCTTGATAAAAAGACAAAAATAGAAGTAACTGATGCCAGTGAAAAAGAGGTGTTATTCTCAAAAACTTTTCTAGTCTTCATATTTCTTTATTGTGGTTATGTGGGGTTTTAAAGAGTTACCTGCTTTGTTTGTTTGAAAAAAGTGAACAAACAAATATTTGTTGTATGTGACCTCTTTAACAGGCTGCTGGTTTATACAAAAGGTTTAAGAGAAGCCAAGACACACATTTTGCCTAAAAGAGCTACAGAATTTAATACCTGCACCCCTTGCCCAGTGTGACTTCTTAAATAATTTCAATTTTTCCAGCTAACCAAGATGAATAAGCACCCTGCAGAAAGCAATGACTGCCACTAACTACGGAACTAATAATTATTTGCTAAAAACAATGGGATTGTTTTGCCCATTTCCCTTTAAATCTTTACATAATATGTAGAAGAAGGCAATTGGGCCACACCTCCAGCATTTTCTCAAACTTTTACCTTAATGTAAGCACACAGGAAAGGGGTGGACTATTGAACCTTTTTTCCCCACAATACAAGGACCCAATGAAACTTTTTTCTATTTGTAGCTTGACATACAAGACCAACTTGCTCCAGCAAATTTCAATTTCTTTTATAGATTTTTGCAATATTAACACAGACACTGAGAAATCCATCTTCTTAAAAACATTTAACTTCTGATCTAGAAAAACACTGAAAGCTAGCAAATATAATCAATTATGTACTTGCCTGTCAAGTATCTGATATTCATTGTCAGATTTGTACAGTGCCACCAGCCTGGACTCCATCAAAATATAAATCTTCCCTGTGGCTTTATCTAGAATATAAAATAAAACAGGAGTTTCACAAATCTCAGTTTAATCCTCTGGCGTGCACCATTATGAAACCTTTCAATATATGCAAGATACTGTAACAGTAAATCTGCCCAGAATAATCCTTTACTACTTTCCAGCTACTTTTTCCCCACACAGCCAGCTAAGGAACACTTTCCAAAGGCTAAGTTTAAACAGAAACCACAGGATGAAACCCAGGCCACTGATCTTCAATGTGTTTTGTTGTTGCAGAGGCAACAACATCTATTACTGCTGAGTCAAATAAAAAGTAGTTGAGAAGTTTCAGTAAATTGTGTCTGAAACAGAGGGAAACAATTGGAAGATGGACAATGACTACATAAAATCAATATTATTAAGTTGTAAGGTAATGATTGCACTTTATGCAGCCTTCGTGAAATTTGCTATTTCAATTACATGCTTGGATGTATACTTCTTTATAGAAGAAGTATATACCAACAAAGGAAGTTAACATCAAAAAAGGGTGAAAAGCTATGAAGAAAATTCATTTTCTACACCAAACCACCCGATTTCCTAACTTCAATGACAAATTTTATTCAGGTTGCTACCCTGCCAACTCAGGATCACTGTCCCACAGCACTGAGCCAGAGACATCCAAACCCAACTCAGCACCTCAGGCAAGTGAGGTTACTTCTGAAAATACCCAATATTTCTTTCTAAGATGACCAAATTTATGTTAAAACTTTTGAAAACTGAAACATACTTAGTTTTCTTCAAAGAAAGGAAACCCCAACACGTGGTGTCCACTGCAAAGGCCTGAATGACTTCATGCTTAACACACAACAGATTAACGTGGTTATGCTGAAACTGGAAAATCCTACTCATGATTTTATTTCTAAAATAAAGGGAGGGAGGTGCTTGTAAATGAAGGTATAATTAAAGACTACAAACACACACACACCTTTCTTTTATTATTCTTTATTTCATCTATTAGTATTTTTTGAGGAATAGTCCTCTCAATTCATGTTAAATAACAAGAGCAGAGCAGCTGGAAATCATCAGCCACATCCAAAGTGGATCTCATCCTTCAAATTACCGCTGGTTCAACCCCAGAAAAGTTCTGTGAATTTAACATAAACCAGTCTAAAATACAAAACATAAGTACATATTCACAGGCACTGAAGGAAGAGGTGTTCAACACTTGCCTCTCAGTTTTACATATTGCAGTTCTGGGTTAACACAAAGGGCCAGATTGCTGGGCAAGGTCCAGGGAGTTGTGGTCCAGGCAACAAGAGAAACACTTGGATCTTCCTCCAGTGGGAAGCTCACGGTCACTGAAGGATCCTGAACATCCTGAAAAACAATTTAACATGCCATGTTTGTCTGTAATGTAAAAGGTGAAGTGGCAGCATTAAAGCTGGAATAGAGCCCCAGTCACTGAGTTCCTCATTATACCAGTACAGTCTGTCAGTCCAACAAGGCCACAGGGAGAAAATCTCCCATTAGCAGGGAGATTTGAGGGATTTGCTGCCAAAACACCAAAGAAAGGCAAGTGCAGCTCCTTTGGTACCTCTCATAACCCCATTTTCGAAGTTTAGAACCAATCTCAAAGGTCAGGAAAATCAGCAGTTTCTCAGATACTGCTAAACAAAGCCTTTTCCACATTTTCTTCTGCAGCCAGGGATTACAAAGAACAGCTATCACATAAAATGATTCAGCTCTAATTAAGCTGTTGTTAACAAGGGGGTGAAACTTTTTGGGGTACTTAAAAACAAGAATATGACAATATTTAAGAGTAAAAAAAACAACCTCAGGGAAGGAAGACCTTTGTCAGCTGCTCTATAAAACTTCACCTTCAAACGAGTCAAAAAAATCCCCTGAAAATAAGATTTTCTTTCAGCCAACTACAACCCTATTCAGTCACTTCACATTTCACATATGATGAAAAGCTGCTTGCAAAAGCAAGTCTAACCCTGCAAATGTGAAATTTTCACTAGGAAATTCTAAATGCCAGCTCAGAGGGTGCCGTGCACACCGACCCGAAGCCCAGAAATGTCTCGTGCGAGGCGCTCTGGTTTCCATCCAGCATCATGGAACAGTTAATGGCATCATGGGACAGGCAGCTATTTATGTCTGAGCTGAGGGCTGCTCCAGAGGGAGTTTTCTGTGAACATCTGGTGCAGTCAACAGTAAAACAAAAATATTACATAACCCATGGCCTGTGCTCAATACCAGGCAGAGATTGAGCTCTCGGTTCTGTCTGTACCAAGTGCGAGGCAGCACTGCAGGCTACTCACTTTGCTTTCTGAAGCACTGAGCTCACCAAGTAGATAAAAACAACTAGCAAAGCATAAAAAATACCATCCAGGCTGACAGGTAATGGCACTGTGCAGTGTTGTAGCTGTTCAAATTTCACCTGCAGACACTGCTTCTTCAGTTTAATGCAGCGCCAGCTGCTGCCATTGTTAACTCAGGTGTGCATTGGACACCCAGCTCCGAATGTGCTCCTTGTGTCCTGTTGCTCCTGATCTGTGTCCCAGTTCTCAGAGGATCAATAAACAGCAGCCAAAGGCTGCTTTCCACTGTGAGAAAGGCAGCAGCTGCCTCACACCCAGAAATGAGTGTGCTTACCAAGAATAAATCCTATCAGCTCACAGGCACACAACTTGCAAACACCATTTTTGCAGATGAGAAAGATAATTTTTGCTTGGAGTGGCAGAGCAGAATCCCACCCACACACACCTCTGGTTCTAGAGTAAGAAACAGCATCTAAATATTTCATTAAGACTCAAGAAGAGAAAGAGCTTCGGCTTTGTGAAAAAAAGGGAACACAGATACAAATACACACAAAACCTCCAAAATGGTCTTTGTTCTAAAGAAAGCTCATTTATCTGAGCCTGTGTGAAATGTCAGTCAGTAAGGACAAGAGAAGTAATCATTTCAGCTGTCAGTCACAACTATCAAGATATCTTTGCAAATCTCTCTTTCATAAATCACAAATAATTTTTTCTTCAGTATAAATACCCCTCAGCAATACTGAAAGTCCTGGTATCTCTCTGGTATCTGTGAGCTGCATTGTATTCCAAGTCTATTTAAACATTTGTTTTAAAAACACTATTTTTGGCCAGAAAACCATCCTTTTTTAGGCAAGATGTAGAGACCAGATGTACAATCTGTGCTAGCTCTCTGCTCTCACAATGCAAGTGAAAGGTTTACAGTATAAGGATATGGAGGCCTGGGTCAGGATTGGAAAGGATACAAAACCTCTATCTGCAAACTAACATGGAATCTGGAAAATTGGGACACAAGTTCTGCATTCACGTATGTGAACATGAGCTTATTGCAAGTGAGAAGCTGCACTTGCTTTATCTTGTCACTTGTTTTTAAAGGAATATTTCATAAACCACAGTAAACCCTGCATTATATTAGGTAAAACATTTTCTGGTGTCTCCCAATCTAAATTAGTGAGTCTTAGAAGAACCATTATCCTTCAGCTACAGAGTCTTTGACATTACTTATGAATCCCCTCACAGAAGATTCAAACTCTGCCAAAGACCCTCTTCTTTTCAGATGTGCACAGACAGGGACAACTGCAGCTCTCCTCTGAAAATTCAGCATAAAAATCTACCTCTGCAATAAAATCTGGAGAGCCCAGAGAGGGAGCAATTTACCACAACAAAACAAAGTATGTGCTTTAAACATCTATAAGTAGTAACCAAGGAAGAAGTCTACGATCAAGTGATCCAAACAAATGATGAAAATTAATCCATTGACCTAGATTTTTACTAGCAATTTGGAGTGTAATGACATGTTTAGATACCAACAAGCAAAAAGTACTAAAGCTTTTCAAATCCAAACAGAACAAAACAGAGAAATCCAACTGCAACTTACCTTGTAGTTCTGGTGGGACTCAAAGTTGGACAGGGGCGTGTTGCATGCAGTTGAAAAAGGCATAACCTTAACCCCTCTATACACCAGTCCCTTGTCATAGAGCTGCTTGAAAACCCACCTGGAAGTACACAAGGAACAAGGAATAATTTGGTGTTTCACATTTAGTAAATAAACTGCAAAATGGGGTTTCTGCTCTAGCTGGAGTTTCTTTCCGAATGACACCTCTTTTTTTAAAGAAGTCCACCATAAACTAAAGACAATATTTGCAAGTCAAAAGGCAAAGAGGTAATTGATTGCAACTGCATTTCTGACAGATTTGTAGCTTTAGCTGGTTGTAGCAGCTTGGTATTCCATGCACTGGCTGCACAGCACAGAGATTAATCAGCAATATGGATTTGTGTTCCATCTAAATATCTTCTCAGATTTCTTGAATACAAAGATCACCTGAAATTTGAACAATTAACAAGGCTAAAATCAGTCATAATTTAGAGAAGAGCTGTAGTGACATGGCTGCTTACTTCTCACATGATCTTAAGTTTCTGCTGCAGCAGAGACACAGATCAGAGACACCTGCAACCCACCCCAAGTAAATACCAATAATCTGAGACCATTTTCCACAGGAGAATACAGTTAACCATGAAAAATAATGAACTCAGTTTTATGGTGCTGCAATTTAATGTTCTCCTTTGAACTCAGATCCTCTCCAAGATCACAGTCTCACACCAAGGTCTAACTCTGCTCAGGAAATCATCAGTACAGCCTGTAGCATAGACTGGATCCTTATGTTTTCTTGAAATAATCAAAACAGCACTTAATATTACAAGTGACAAATCAAGTCAATGCTCAGAATAAATGGAAGCTGGAAGAGAAGCACTTCACACAACAACTCAAGGTGTCCAGGTGATGGACAAAGCCTGAATACTCCAGGGTTTCCTGGATCATCAACATTTATCAGCTTCTCATGTCTCGCTGACTTGCACACTCAGTGGCACAGCCTGCAGGCTGCAAGGCAGGAGAGGGCAAGCCTTAAATAATCCTGCCAACTTCAACTCACAAGCCAGAGCTGCTGCAGAGCCTCATCCTTTCGAATTTCACAGAAAAACTGTTAAACTCTGCTGACTTTAAAAGCTCCTTTATTCAAACTATGTTTTCAAACCATCCTGATCCCTTTTCTGGGTCCCTTTGTAGATAAATAGCTCATTGCTAAGCAACCAACCCAATCCTGGCAAGCAGCACTTTTTTCTGCAGGCTGTCATTTTGTGCTTGAGAATCTGGACCTGCATTTCAGTCACTGTCTTGTCTTCTATGCTTGTAATTATCATCTTCAACAGAAAACACAAGTAGACTATTGCACTGATTTTATCTGTGGCCCAAAATAAGAATATCAAAAGACATGCCCTGGCTTGCTGACATGGAAGTCCTGTGGTGCCTTAATCAGAATAATTATTACACTGCAGATTAGGCAGCTGGAGAAAATACAGAATGTCAAATGGAAAAGATGTGCAGTCCACTCATATTCATCCATGGGCCTCCAGTAAAAGTCCAAAACTCTTCTATGAGTGGTCACTAACATCAGAAAAGTTATATAATCCAAAGTCTGAGATGGAAAAAGCCTCCGAGACCCTCAGCAGCATCGAGCTCTGCCACAGAGGAGCCAAACCCAGGAGTCTCTCAGGGCTGTGCACTCCTACAAAGGTGCCTTACCTTACACACAACTCCAAAGATACCTTGTTCAACCAAGAAATGTCACCCCCAGGCAAGATCTGGCTGCGTGACACCCAACCCAAATCTGAAACATAGCAGTGAATGACTATTTTACAGTGGAGATTTTAAGTTTATCAACTTAGACTTGTATAAACCTAGATCAGTCTTTTACAAAAATGATCCCTAAATATAGTTTCACCAGCTTTCAGCATATCAATTTGAGCTGGCTAACTGCACAAGTTTTTGTGGGAGTTAAAATAACTTTAAATGTATGCTTACCCCCTCAGAGCACAATTAATGCAGCCTGTGACAAGTGACAGCATTCCTACTGAAGGTGTTCTATTTGCCTTTCAAAAACAGTAACTAAAATACCTATAGAAAAAGGCTCCACTTTACTTTCTATAGAACACTGCCTACTAACAGCACACAAAAACTACTCAGAGAAACACTGAATCTTTAATTCAGCTGTAAATATAACTGTAAACTCAGGGAGCTGCTCAGGAAAGGTGAGTAGTACATGGAGCTGCCAAACTCCTAATCCAGGCCGGCATCTCCCTCCTGTGGCAATCCCATCCCACTGCACAACCCAGCTCCAGCTGTGCCCTGCAGAGCAGGGCTGGGCTTCAGACCACATCCCTCCCCTGAGCTCCTCACACCGAGCACTCGTCTGGAGTTTGCCACCTGTCCCCTCACACAGCCATTCCAGCAGAATAAATAGAATTATAATTGAGTCAACACTGCTGTTTGATGTCATAACCCTTATTACCACGACACAAGCTCTTTTGTTGCCTTAAAAAGCACCTAAAATGGTCTCCTTAACAAGAAAAAGCTGCTGGGAGCTGCTGGTGTGTGATCACCAGAGCTGCAGAGATGATTCCCAAAGAGCTCCCTGCAGCAGTGCCCACCTGAAACACAGCACCTGCCAAAGATGCGATGGTTCTAGCAGTAAGAGTCACTTACAAGTGGAGGTCATGTTTTGATTAAAAATTCATCACAGTATTTTAGACAATAACCTCACAGAACGTGGTTTAACCCTTATGTTTGAAAAATGTTGACATTTTGCAAGAAAGAGGCCGCAGGTTTGTACACCAGAATTGAAAATGCAGTGCTTTCTGAAAAAAAATAATACTCTAAGGAAACCACAGAGCTTCTTTCAAGTGGCAAACAAAACATTTACTCACAGAAGTAAGAAATTGTTCATTTAATTCAGCTACATTTCTCCTCAAACATAAATAAATTTAGTTGCATCCTCTTGGCTGTGGGAGCAGCACTCAGACCTTTACTGAAGAAAAATGCAGTTTGGGAAAAGGTGAAATTCAAGATGCATATTTCAGCTTCTTGTTAAGAGAGAAACTGGTCCCCAAAGGTGCAACGAATGTTTAACTTCTGAAGTGACAAGAGTTTGTTGCTCCTGAAGTGTCATGAGGTTCAAACTCAGTCAATAAAAAAGCCCTGCTCTCTCCAGAACTCCCAAAAAACCAGAACCTTCCTGCAGTATTTGTTCATCCAAGTCACACACACAGCACACAAATACCACATGGATATAATCAAACTCCTGCAAAGGGAGCTTTTTCTTCCAAAAGATACTGAATCAGTCAATGCAGCACTCCAAACACCCCTGGCATCCCACACAGAATCCAACATCTCTCACTATGTAAAAGCAAGTGCACTTCTTGAACACGTACATCCAGTTCACATCAAAGAGAAGGATTTGATCTTGGAGCTTCCCAAGTTCTTAATGCCATTCCTTTGAGGGATCAAGGAGCTATGTTTGCAGTGATCAGTATCTAAGGGTTTTCTAAGGGTTTGAGAACTCCAACCTTTCCACAGAACTAACTCATAACTAACACAGAGATTTATTTTCAAACACATAGAAACTGTCTTCCCCTCTTTTTTTCCTCTTTAAAGAAAAAACAGCAGGAACTGTAAACAGTTCTGTGGGCATTAGGACAGCAGGCTCTAGAGGTCTATGATTTCAACATATCCATGATACTTTAGGTAAATGGACAAAATTGTTACTGTGTGACCTCACATCAGTTTGTATCAAGGTAAAAGGACAATTTTATGGCCTCTGTAGACCTACCAAACAAATCCAGGCACAAACATCATGCTATGTAAGAAGCCCTGTCATTTAAAAGTTCAGCAAACACTGCACCCTAACAGCACCACGGGAAGCAGAGCCTCTGAGGAAAAGGTTTTCCTACAACTCATGGACGACGCTTGAAAAACATGAGGAAATCAAAATGAAAGCAGGAATCAAAAACAGATGCTTAAGGACAAAAAAAAAAAACCAACCTAAAAAAGTACTCAAAAAACACTGGATGTGAATCAAAATAAGCATAAACCTAAGTGAAGCATGAATTCCAATAGCAAACACAGCCTATCTTTAGAACAGCATCTTGGAAAGACAGCTCCTTAAGAAAGTCAGGAAAACTATTTCTTTGTTCCAGGACCTAGGAATTGTTGAGTACAGAAGTTGTCAAATTCTGTGTTCAACTACTTTAAAATCCTGGCATACAGAGATTGTCCTGCTCCAGGTCTACCTTCCAAGATGTAGTTTTCTGAACATGTGTGTTTGTTGAGAGATTCTGGATCAAGCCAGAAATGCAAAATACCTGTATAACAGAAAATATGAACATCTAAAACTGATGCTAAATTTATCCCAAGATCATCCATAGGAGTGCAGCGTGTTCCTCCTCCAAAACACAGGTAAGGAGATACAACAAGGACTGCAACAGTGAGAAGGTAACAACAAGAGAACTTTATGCACAAAAAAAACCAAGAGAACTTAATGCACAAAAGAAATACATGAATGAGGGAAAAAATACAGGTAGCTCATAAAAAAATGGACAAACTACAATTTTTTATCACCAATATCTCTCTAGAGAATCATTAGTCTTGGAAAATACAGAACGCAATAGTGATTTCTATTAGGAGAAATCTATTAGGAGAATTTCTATTCAGAGCTTTGTTGTTCTGAGATCATTCTGGTTTAGTACTGAGTGCTGGGCCTGTTTCAGGGCAGGTCAGGTAACCCAGCTCTCCCTGGCACCTCCTCCCAGAGCTCTGCCACCAAGGGGAGCTCAGGACCGTCTGGAACAGGCTCAGCCCGCAGTTGCTCGTTTGGGCACTAGATGGTGACAAGAATCTTCTCAAGCCACCCTTCAGAGGAGCAGGAGGAGAGGCCAAGCCCTGGCATCACCCCAGAAACAGCAGAGCCATCCCCTCATCCTATCGGCAGCTTGCTTCCCTGGAGCCCTGGGAGAGCTCCCCTAGGGCAAACTCACACCCGGCCCACACTTATGCAACAACCCAGCAGTGAAGACAGTAATTTATAGTTATTCCAACTCCCAAAGGTTTCTTTCAGACCACCTCAGTAAGAAGTTCAAGCTCCCATCAAACTCCTCTCCATTTCACTGGATATGTCTTGTGACTGCACAAAAAAAAAAAAAAAAAGCAAGAACAAATTTCATGTTTGTGCCACACCAGCTCAAGAACATCACTCTCGTTGCACTGTTCCAGTGAAGGGCACTTTTTAATTGAGATCAAAGCTGGCTGCAGGACAAATTGTACAGAATTAGAACTTAAAAGTTCTGTTTAAGTTATTTAATATGTGCAGAGTTGACTGATCTTAACATGCAAAACCAGTGCAGTGTTACCTCTTATTGACACCGAGCTTCAATCGTCCCTGAAAAATTCTGCGAGGACACCACAATTCTACCAATGAATATTTCATTGTAAGTCAAAATTTAGCAGGCTGGAAATTCAGTTTAGTCAGTCATCATATGACATAGCATCAAAATGCCAACAAAGCAGTCATTTCCACCAGAACAATTATAAAGATGAAAAAGAAATGCTCTCTAGCCTTCTGAGCTTATTAATACTGTTTTGTAGAGAAACTGTACAACAGATGTATTTGGTGTCTGAGTCCTAAATACTTCAAATCTAAATAATTTAGATCAAATCAGCCACCACTGAAAACAACATTTATCACAAGTACATTTATCACAGTACAAGATTATATCACTGAACTCAACAGAAACAAGGAAGAAAACACCGCATGTCACAAAGAAATTCCAGTGAGGCCACTCCAGAGCTGCAGGAAGAGCTACAGACCAGAGAAAAAAATAACCTAAACAGATTGGTTTATCTGATTATATGACTAAAGACAAACTCCTTACCATATTTTAACCACAAAGCCTACAGCTGCCATGCCCACTACCGTTTTCATAACAAGGGGTTTTTTTCTGGGCCTAAAATCAGCATTGTACTCCCACAGACAGAACAGGAACAAGGTAAAACCACTGGACAGGCCACTATGGTCTCCAGGACACTCAATGTAGAAATTAAGCTGCAGTTTCTCTTTTGTACATAGCAGGACACTAAATTTTAAAATTCTTTTAAAGTACTTCAAATGGAGCTCAGAAAACATTTAATCAATTGTGAGAGAAGCATGCTAGAACCTACAGCTCAAATTCACACCCCTGACAGACACGAAAAGTAACTTCAGTAAGACTTAGTGGGTCTGATGATTGCCTAGGTAACCATCCAATTTATTTAATTTTTAGGAAATAACTCTGCCAAAAAGCACCACTAACTGCAGTGGCAGGGCTCTCTTTAAGCATTGTCTCCTTCAGCCTTGAGACAGTCCTAGAAGACTTTCCAAAAAAAACCCCAATTTTTAAAAACAGAAAATACTTTTCATTACTTAACAGAAACTTAACGGTATAAGGAAGAAAAAAAAAGTGCAAAATTAAGAGGCTGTCTGCCTACATACTTCCTGAAATCTCACTGGGTTTTCAGATCCAGTATAATTTGGTGTTTGTATCAAAGCAAGCATTAAAGGAGGTGATCTCTGTAACCTAGGTGCAAGAAAATACCTTTTAAAGAGGCAGCATGAGAAACAAACCACAAAAAACGGGCTTGGGCTGCTGAGAGAGACCCTGCAGCTAGTTCAAGGCAGGTTTGGTTTTTAAGCTGACAGTTAAATAGGATTTGAGGTGCCACTAAGTATTTTTGTAATTTACAAAAATTAAGGTTTCATGTCTTCAGTTTTGACTTTATAATTATGCAGAGTTTCTTCAGCTGAGTGAGTTAAACATCTGCTGCCTTCCCACCATTTTTCCAACGCTCACTGAAATCTCACTGGCACTTCAGCCCTCTGCAGTGGCTTCAGGGATGTCTAAAAGGTCTGTCAATCTACTGTCATAACTTTATGAAATTAACTATACAATTAAAGCTGATCAGTAAAGCTAATACTATCAAATACTCAATAATACTTTATTATGCACATAATTTGCTTTGCAATGGCTTTTTGTCAGCATACATTCTGTTAAACCTCTCCCTGCAATTAACCTTGTCATTCTACCACCCAAAGGACTCACAGCTGCCATTTCTGTGTTAAACCAATCTGATTATCCTCAACCTGTAAAGTTGACTTGTCTTTTGAAATCCCAACAGGCACCCTGAATACACTGCCAAAACACCCAAACTTTATTAAGCTCTACACCAGGAGTCCAAGACAGATGTCAAACTGTGCTGCCAAGAAAAAGATAACAGCAGATTCACAGCCTCTAAATTCAGGCTTGAAGAAGAGGTTTGGAGCTAAACTGAGCTTGGACAGTTTGCCCATTTACAGCTGACAGTGTGAAGAACATCAAGAATGCAGAGATAGAATGTAATTTCCTAAACCAACCAAGGAACATATTAATAGATGTTCAGAACTGCTTTTAAGTTGACATGGAGCAGTAAGCTTTCAGGGCTCACTAAAGGCAGTGTTGGTGAGCTTTATTTTGCAAAGCCCTGCTATCCTGGAGAAGGAAAAAATGGGACAATTAATTCCATCACTCGGACATCAAGAGATTACACATCACTTTAATTACTCTGCCTGATGTTTTCTCTGCATTTAACATTTTCAGAACAGTTCTGGTGATACATGGACCAACACATGTTTGCAATGAGCGAAACCTTTTTCACATTTCAAATCCATCAAGCAATGCACATTCACTTACCACACAGACTCCATGAACTCAGGGTAAAGAGTTTTATAGTCATTTTCAAAGTCAATCCAGCGTCCTAATCTGGTAACACTGAACTGTTAAGACACAAACACAGAGATTGAAAGGCATCTTAGTTTTTATTCTGTAAAAAAAAAAAAAAAAACCAAAAAACAGCTGGGTTTTTAAGTGCAGCATTTGTCCCATCTCAGTGAAATACATCTATAAAATATTTTAGCCTGATAATAGTTCCAAACAGGCAAAAATAAGGAAGGAATGAAACCATGAGCACAGTTATTTCAAATCAAGGTCACACAACAGGAAAATGTGTTCAACACAGCAAAACCAGTAGACCGCTTGGATCATTCATCAAATAGAAATGGTGGATCACTCCACCATTCCAAGGTTCAGCCAATGTTCAAAAGCCTGAACGTTGCTTTTCATTACAGTGATCTCACTTCTATTTTTAAGACTACTTGTTGCAGAGACAGTGAAAACCCAGAAGACGTAGTCTATCAGCTTTCAGCTCCATGAAAACATGATGTAACTTGAAGACAAAGAAATGCTGAAAGAAACTGATACGTGACAAGTTATCAAACTATTCCAGGGCCAACTGCCTTCCCAGAGACATGAGAGCTGTCAAGGCCACCAGAGTGACAGGTGCCAGCCCCTGTCCCAGGACACATCATGGTCACATCTACACACTAATGAGGAATGAGCCAGCTGTGGGATTCACTGGGACAAGTGGGATTTCACAGCCATCCGAAGCCCCAGCCAGGGGCTGCCAAGCCAAGCCAGGGACACCTGTCCTGACACTGTCACACACAGCCCCCTCTGAATGTCAAACCAGCAAACTGAACACAAAACACATTCATTCTTTCACCTCTACATTTTCATTCAACACCTGATTCAGCTCCTGACATGGATCAGTTTCCATCCTGACCTTTAAGTCACTCTGACACTCCACTAGTAAGTTCCATAGCACAAGGATCCACAAAGTTGGAGCATTATGTTTGGTCTCAGCATTGTAAGATCTCACACAGCCAAGGAACCCTTTCTATTTTTTCATAAGGCTCAAATATTTGCTAACCACTCCAGGCAGAAAATAAATACTATCTAACAGGAATGTTGGTAATTCCTCTCCTAGCACTATTCCAAAGTATTTGAATTTATTACAAGTCAAAAGATATTTAAACAAATGTCATTAATTTTATTTATAATCTAAAATACACACATATATGCACAAGTTTATGAACAAAACAAAATACAAAATCCATTCACCACTCAGAAGATCAAGTGCTGGGTCTCACCAGCACTGCAAAAACACCAGTTGCTGAAGTACAGCAAGTTAAAAGGTATGGGAAATGAATACAAAATGTTCCAGATTTGGCTGGGATAGAGTTAATTTTCTTCATAGCTGGCACAGTGCTGTGTTCTGGATTTAGCATGGGAATAATGTTGTTAACCCACTGCTGGTTTAGGTGCTGAGTAGTGCTTGCCCTAAGCAAGGAGTTCTCAGTTTCCCAGGCTGTGGCAGCCAGGAGCTGCACAAGGAGCTGGGTGGGAGAACAGCCAGGAGAGCTGATCCAAACTGGCCAAAGGGACACTCCATAGCACAGGACATCATGCCCAGCAGAGAAACTGGGGGGACTTGGCCAGGAGCTGTGAATCACTGAGCAGAGACAGGCTGGGCATCACTCAGCAGCCAGACTGCGCATCACTTGGTTCTCCTGGATTTTATTCCTCCTCTTTTACTATTATCGTTAGCGTCATTATAACATTTTATTTTGCTTCAGTTAAACTGTTCTTATGTCCATTCATTGGTGCTTGGCTGCCAGTTGGGGTTAAACCACAACAAACCAGAATGAATCATGCTATTTTTATTCCTAAAAGCAACAAAGAATTATCAATGATGGGTTTGAAATACAACATTTCAGAGTATAATTTAAAAAAAAAAAAAAACAAAACAAACTGTTTGCTTTTCATCCAGCCACTCACTAAGGTTTAGGCCAGTTACTCCACCCAAGGCAGCTTTGACTTGGTTTCTTCAGACACTGGTCATAACTTCAAAATACTCCCAAGGGCATTTTGAGGCAAGTGATACTCAAGTAAGAAACTGCTATTTCCATGAAAAGAAATACAGCAGAACTAGAAACATGCAGAGGAGTGAGATGAAGTAGAAGAGCTTTTGCACAACAAAAAATTAAAATAGACTGAGGGTCTACCCACACCTCTTGTGACAAAACCAGATGTGAGAATTTCTGTTCTTCCAAAAATAGAAGCTGCTGCCCTGCACTTTGGCAATGAAAAGACTGTGGGGAAGGAGGAGCAGAAAAGCAGTGAGGCTAATGTTAATTTTCTTTAATGGCTCCATTTCAAAACCAAAGACAGATCTTTCCATTTCCTATACAAGAAAAGACACAAAGAAAGAGGCAATGCTCAACATATCTATTATTTGTTCAGTGTATCTCATTAGACACTTTGAGCTCCAGGTAACCTGCAAGTAACCTTCTCTTGACAGCACAGCAATCTCTGTTCCAAGCCACAATGGTGCTCTTTTTGCTCTCCTTTCAGGAGCACAGGGTGAAACAGGAGCTTAAAGACATCAGATTTATGCACATAATCAGACAAAAGGACGAAGTTCACCCCACCTGAAACACTTCTGCACAAATGCATTTAGAAATGCTCAGCAGAACATGGACTGAGCCTTCACTCACCTCCCACTCCTTGGCGTATCTCATCACAATCCCTCTGCACTCTTTGTTGTAAGCTTCAATCCCCATCTTTGCCACATCCTCTGGCCCTTTAATGCCTAAAGTCTTGTCAATCTCATATTCCTGGGAGCATGGAAAATAAAAAAAAAAAACAAAAAACACCCTGTTATTAAAAACTTTCAGGATTTCCCTAGATAGTTTATTTATGTCCTATACATTCTAATGAAGCTCAGGGGCCTCTTTTAAACTTCTGAGATTTCATGAGAGCTGCACATGAACTAGGCAGGGACTTCAAAGGCTTACTCTGGCATGACTGTTTCTTTAGCATCTTTAAAAAAATGAAAAAAAAAACCAAACCCAGTTTCTGAAAAACATACCAACTAAATACAGGTTCACAGCAATGAAGAGAGTGCAGGTGATCACTAGGAAGCTCCTGAACTCACCAAAAAAACCCCAAAAAGCCAGAGAAACACACTGGACAACTTCCATTTCTTTTTTAGCAACAATGTCAGGTATAAAAGCAACTGAAATAGGAGTGATAAGCAGGGAACAGGGAAAAAGGAAACAACAGAAGTATCTGCAGGCAAATTCATGACACATACCACAGGTAAGCCGTGGCAATCCCAGCCAAACCTTCTGTCAACATGAAAACCACTCTGATGAGCAAATCTGGTCACGATGTCTTTGATGGTTCCTGCAAGAATATGGCCATAGTGGGGGAGCCCCGTGGCAAACGGGGGGCCATCGTAGAAGTTAAACCTACAACACAAAACATTCCTCATTAAAGCAAAAACTGAGCAGCAGGCCTTCAGCCATGGTGACTCTATGCTTATATTGTGTTTCACTAGGAAAATACCCATTCCTTCCTCTTCCATGATCAGTCAGCACAGGTAGCAGCGGGACTGAGGAGAACATTCCAACTTGTTCAGTTCCTGCCACTGCCAGTTGTACCAGGATTCCCATGGCACACCCCAGCATGGTGCTCCACACCCCACAACTGGAAGAGTTCTTTGCTTAGCTACCCATTTCTCTTACATATCCACCAGGCAGGAAATTACAGGTTCATTACAACGGTTTGAACACTGCTGATTCTCCACCAAGTGGAATATAAAGGGACAGCAGCATGAGCCAGGCCTGCTGTTGGCAAAGGGAACGGCTACTGTTTACAGAACCAAGGAAAAACAAAGAGTAATTACAGCCAAGCCAACCCTGCACTGCCCCACAGAGTTGCTACAGCTTTTAACAGATTCTTACCTAGGTCTGTTCTTTGATTGCTTTAGGCATTCCTTGAAACAATTAAGGTTTTTCCAGAGCGTCAATATCTTTTCTTCTTCATTTGGAAAATTTATGTTTTCTGGAACTTGTTGAACCATTCTTCCGCAACAAGGATCAAGAAGAGAATACATATCGAACAGAAGGGAGAAAAAAATAACTCCACAAATACAACTTATATCTTTCAAATCCATATCACCAATCCAAAGCTCAGTTTTCCAAAGAGCCTGATTCACTGCAAGCATGGAAGCAAGCATTCCATTCTAAAGAAAAGCCTAATTTTGACTGGCACCAAAATTTTGGAACAGTAAAAGGATTCTCCATTCATTCAACTATGATTGTTCCCTCTTTTATCATATTTTTATTTCTGTTTCCCAGAGAAAACAGTCAAAGGGTAAATTATTCTTTGGTCACAGGTTTGGGGTTTTTTCTTCAGAGAGCTTCCAAGTTCAAACTGAACCTTTGGCACCAGTTTGTATCAGAGAGTTTGCCTTTAAACTACTGAAGAAGAGGCTCCTTTTCACTGTACATTTATTCACACTGTTTAAATGTTTAAAATAGCATTTTCCATCAGTCTATGCCTCATGATGCCCATCTCAGATGCCCCTAAAAGCAGCCACAGTGCACAGAGTTGAAAAACGCTGCAAAGATGAACATGAGTTTTTGAAATACATTAAAACAAAGCCCCAACAGGCCACTTCCATGCTTTACAAGCAACACAGGGAAGAGGAATTCTCAGCATAATTAGGAACACACAATTGCCTGGTTCCAGACTTGCTATGAGATAGAAAAGGGTCAGATTTCAATCAAATGCCAAGAACTGAACAAAGCTCTGGGAGTAAGGGTGTTTTAAGATAGCAGCTTCCAACAGAAAATTGGTTATAAAGTTTGTCATAAATGATGCTACAGAATAAATGGGTTCTTCCACCTCTCACTTTAGTGCTGCTGCTCCTGAGCACACTTACACCAGAAGTAGCTACTACAGCCTTGAGCTTCACTCAGCATGAGAGAATTACAAGTAATGGCACAAGGCCTGAGTCTTGTGATTTACTCAGGTTTGTAAATACTAACCATAAAGCAGCAACAAAGGCAAATGCATGAAGACAATTCTTCCAGTTACAGCTGAAGCTCCAAAACATTTGCTTAAATAGAACCCAGAACATCACAAAAATTGCCAGCTGAAGGCTTGAACCCCTATGAAAAAATGTGCTACAGACCAATCCAACACTTTTGTATTCATGACAAATCTTTCTCTCAACTAATAAACCCAAATTATCCTTTCTCATTATCATATTGTTATAATTGAGAATCCCACAACGTGGTGCACACACAACACAGCATTTGGAGGGGAAATCAGGGGCTGACAAGGAACACGTGGACATGGCCTGGATGTATTTTAGAAAGGTAACAACCAGTCTGAGCACAGTGAGTTACTCTACACACAACCTGTAGGAAAGTTTTCACTATTCTGCCTCAAAGCACTGGTTAGGCTGGGTCATTTCTTAGTGATTTGATCACAGAGACAATGCAAATGATAAAAGAATTCAGCTTTAAAGCTTTTATCTCACACAAGCCAGCTGACCTGAGGTTCAAGGATCTGCATGTTCTACTCAGCTCAAGCTCAGCCGTCCCAAATTAGTGATAACTGCAAAGGGTTTGGAGACTGGCCAGACGTCAGGTCTGCGTAACTGAACAAACCAGAGGCAGGCTGGGGCTTTGTGGTGTGCCTGTGACCGGGCTGTGGAGGCTGCTCACGGATCACAGACTCCCTGCGTAAATCACAGAGTCACTGTGGGCCCATCCTCCCAACTGAAGCACTGCACGGGCACAGCAGTGTCCAGTAACCACAGGGCACAAATCCATCCACACTCTCAGCAATGGCACAAGTTTATTGCATCAGAAGCAAGGGGGCGGGGGGAGAAATGCTGCTGGAAATTAATACGCAACCATCACTACCGGTTATTTTTTCCAAGTTACAAAGCAGAATTTTAAACAGACTGACTTAAAAGGCAAAAAGGCACATTGAAAATTTTGTCATAGCTCAACCTCAGCTGAGAAAAAAGGCCAAGATATAAAAAACATTTTCTAGACAGAGGTATGAATATCTCTACAGCACAGAATAAAGCTCATTATAAGCAATATAGGTATTTTAAATCACAAAATAATCCAGGATAACTTCATTACTTTGAACACAGACTGAGCGAAAACATCACGAACCATATTGCAAAAATTATACAAACACATCTAATAAAACCACATTTTCAGACAACACATTTACAGAGATCGGTAACACAAGGACGGTTCTCTATTCATTTTCTGCTGACAAGAAGTGTCAGAGTTTAAGACAATGCACCATTAAGCAAGTTTTTATTAAGTACACTCACTTTTCTAGAGGATAACAACATTCACTAGCAAAGGTGTTGAAGTTTGGAGATTGTACTACAGCAGTCTGAGACTTAAGCTGGGCTTCTTATCTACAAGAAAAAAAAAATGCATTAAAATAATAAAATCAAGTTCACATGTGCTTTTTCAAATACCAGTATTTTTTTAAATCAATAAAAATTCAATTAAAACACCATTAATAAAGTGAACCCGTATTTGAAAAATACTGTTGTACTTTCCATACATTAGATGTAGGATTAAAGAAAAAAGAAGTGGATCTCAGAGTTTTAATTATTTTGTTGACTGAGATGAGCTGAAGGTGGACAAAAGGTTTGATTTTCAGCGGTTTATGATCAGTCTCTTACTCTTGTTCCAGTCACCTTCTCCCCAAACTATTCTGTAAAACAGACCAAAGCTCCCTCCAAAGACAAGGAGGCTCCTTTCTCCACTTACAGCTGCCTTCTCCAAAGTTAAACAATGCTGTTTTCTATACACACCTGGCACCCCCATTTCTGCCTTTCTAGGTACTATTCTGGGGTGACATCAATCTAAACTGCTCACCTGATAATCAAAACTCTCCATTTCTAGAAGGGATGGAAACAACCAAGTTTAAAGCAAAAGGAACAATGGTCGGGAACAGAATGCTGAACTACAGAATGAAAAGTGCTTCTGAAAATCTTGTGCCAGTGTCTTATATGGGGAATAAAACTGCAATACTACCCCAGCTGCTCCCCTGCAAGGTGTTCCTTTAATACCGAAAAAGCCAATTAAAACAAGGCCAAGGGAACAAGCAGACTCATCAATTAATACTGTCTTTAGATACAAAAACGTCATGCTATGCAAGAACCCAGTTTTACACTCTATCTTGTTATGGCTTAAAAAATTTTTGTCATCATCATACTACCTTGATTAAAAATGGAACATATCATTGTGGGAAAAATAAATCTAGATTATCTTAAAAACACTTTGAACTACGTCTTTTTAATAAAAACTCAGAAACTAGTGTCAGCTGAGTTACTGAACACTGCTTTTATGTGACAACTAAATTCTGTTACCTGACAGCTGCTTTCTAATCATGTCACCACCAAACCGAATAAAAATGCTTTCTGCAGTTTCCAAAAGGCTCCCGAGGTGTGGAAGCCAAGGTTTGCTGGAGATATCAAAGCCACCGCAGCTGCAGCAATAAAAAGGGTGCATTCATCAACCCTCCCCATTAAAAGGATGCTGAAGGGAACACTTAAGACATACTACACGTTGGAAGGGACTTTAAGTTCTTTGTACAAATAAAGAAAACAAGACTTGCTAAGTATTAAGCCCTGCAATAAGACAGCTGGCTAACCTGTAATAAGCACGTGCTGTAAGTAACCCCGAAAAAGCAAAGAATGTGCACAGCACGCAGGGAGTGAAACACACACATGAACGTGACGTTCTACACACAAAACACGAGCTAATAATGTCAAAGGCCGCAGGGGAGCTGCCAGCCCGGCCGGACCCCGTTACGGCGCTGACAGCCCAGGCTCCTGCGGGGCCACGAGCCGCCGCTTTCCTGGGGCACCCTAAAGGTGCCGCCCAGCACCGGCTCCCCCG